TTTAACTCTGAATAGACAGCCTCACTTTCTCACAAAGTACACTTTGATACTATGCAAATTGTCTAGTTGACTCGATGACTGCAAACTGCGCAGGCCCTTAATCCGCATAGCCACCCCAAACCTTAACATTTCCACCACCATGTCATAATACAACGTTATAAAGGTTTTTCTCCAGAAATGTTGTCTTCAGTTTGCACCGTACTGTGACCAAACAACTCTAGTCTAGTCTTGCTGTAATGTTCTTTTTGGACAGCAAAGGCTTTTTCTTTACACACCTCTTATGCAGGTTAAAATGCTGCAACCTCTATCTGATTGTAGACACATGTATTTTGACCCCTTCTGATGCAAGAGTTACCTGAACACTCCGCAATGAAATTTTAAGTTTCTTGGAGACTTATTTTAGCATCAATCAGCTCTTGGGACTGAATTTGCTGGACCAGCCAGACCTGGAAAAAATAGCAGTTTTTTGGTATCTATGCTGACTATAGATTGACTTCAAATCATTTGGTGATCTTAATAAAACTCTTGCCAGACTCAGACAGACATTCACAACTTTTTTTCGGAGGGCCTCACAAAGCTCTATTGATCTTGGCATGACGACAACACACAAATTAATAGTAAAGAGAACACCATACCCTGGGTAACTGAGATTTAAAAAAGACACGTTCCACCTGTATACTCCCTAAGGAGTTTCTAATCAATGGCACCTAGTCTGAAACACCCCATTCTAATTCCATGAATTTGAAGTGTTACTAAATGTACAGGTGTACTTACTTCCTGTATATGTCAAATTTATATTTTTGTTAATTTTGATCATGAAAATGAATACACCATTTCAATTTTTTTTCAGAACATCATCACCTTAATCTGTAGGCACTATTGAAATAAAGGTCTAATTTGGTGCAAAACATCAACATTTTAAATGGAATGTACCTTCTTTTTTCAGATGACTATATGTAGAAATGTATAGACTTTACAGCAAAAACAAATCCTGCTCTTCACAGCTAGAATGTAAAGATTATGGAAGTGTGGCTGAAAAAACATAACTTTAAAGAAACAAGAAAAAGCATACATAGAGCAACAGGAACATGAAATAACAGCATCTATTTGTTCTTTCTCCAAACATAAGTTCCATAATTCACCGATTGTTACTTTCCTCTTGTACCAAATTGTATTGTAACTGTAATGTCTACTTTAATTTTGTAAAGCTCTGTGCAAACTGTTGGCCCTATATAAATCCTGTATAATAATAATAGTTATTATTATTATTACAGTTGCCTTTAGCTGTTGAAAGAATATTATTGTGAGTGAAAAAATCTCATTCTTAATTTAGATCTCTTATTTTTAGGTGTTGCAGAAGTCCACAAATTATCAAACAGCCACTGATGTCATAGTAATTAATTTAATGGCAGTATTTCATTATCAAGATTGAGGAGATGGACTTTCACTCCTTTTAATAATTGATGTGGCAGTGGTTAAAACACCAAAAAAGGTATGTTTTAAGAGAATGGGGTTTTTCAAAAGAAAAATGGTCCATGTGCAGTATACACAGGAAAGCTACCCCCATGGTCTTTCCTCCAGTGGATTGACAAGCGATGATAATATAGGCATACACAGTGTCACAAGTACAGCTAGCGTGCATCACTATTAATTGGTAAGAAAAAATACATTCTAGATAAAAAACACAAGAATTTTCTTTTGAAATTATTAGAGGGATTTTTTTTCATGCAACTTTTAGAAAGCACTGTGTACAATAGAGCATCCAATGACCTTATCTGCACTTGTTTTCTGAAAAGTACATTGAGTTATATGACTCCATAAGAATGGGATGTCAGCTAAATGCTTCTCTTAGCCCATGGAACAATGAATATTATCTTTTGTATCACTTGCTCTCCCCTTTTAGATTGTAAGCTTAAACAAGCAGGTCCCTCTTAATCTTCTTGTATAGAATTATATTGTAACTGTGCTGTCTCCCTTTATATTGTAAAGTGCTGCTCAAAATGGTTGGCCCTATATAAATCCTGTATAATATGGAATACTTTGCCGTTCGGCACTGGCAGAAAAGTCTTCCCTTGGAAACCCATACAGCCTCTAGAACAGTTATTCTCGACCAAGGTTCAACCAGAAATTGCTAGGAGTTCCATTAGCAGTCAGCAGTGGTGAATTGATTTTCCACATGACGGTGCCTGCATAGTTCCAACTCTTATCACCGACCCCTTAAGTAATGGCGCACTCTTCCAAATGCCTACTAACGAATGGGACATTCTTCCAACTGACCCTCTAATTTAGCACTGTAATCTTTCCACTGATCAATAATGTAAGAAAGAACAACACTGAACACCAAAGTATGAGGCATTCTTCCCACTGACCACCAATGTACGGTTAGCTTTAAATATATAATTGTTAGCAGTAGATTGCTATGAAAATCACATCATGGGTTACTCCAGGAAGCAAAGGTCAAGAAAAGCTGCTTTAAATTATGTTAACTTCATCATGGATCCTATTTTGTCTGCACACATTAGTGCTGGCAGGCAAGAGCTTGCCATCTAACAATATTTTTTTTTTAATCAGTAAGGACAGAGTTAAGCTGGCCATAAATGGATCAAAATTTGGACAGTTCAGTAGGGGCCAGACAAATTTCAATCCATGTAAAAGCAGGCTGATTGCACCCAAGTCAATCCATCAATAGACTTGGGTACAATCAGCCTGTCGGCTTTTTCTGCATGCAATTACTGTCATAGCCGCTAGCAGTAATCATTGCATTGTGGCAGCTGAAACAACATTGACTGTGTTGATAGGGGAATCGAGCACATCATTTATAGGCTACCTTACACTCAGAGAAGTATTGTCCCCAATAAGATTAAACAAATAGGTGGCAATGGGAAGAGTATACTTGGAGGGCACCCAACTGGTCTCAGGTTATATAATATAGGCAAGGATTGCACAACTGTAGCACCCATGTCTGTTTCAGCTGTCATTAATTAATTAATTGGAAAGACTGGTTTCTGTGTAAAGGAGGCTACATTAAAAAAAACAGAACATATCTAAATACAGATAATTTTCTAATAAATATAAAATTATAAAAATAATATTTACAGCAATTTACACATTGCACATTTGAAGGGACACCTGAACAACTAGCCCAAGCCTTAAGAATATAAATCGGTTGTCAAGTGTTTGGGTGTTTTTTTTTCACAGTACATAGACTACGAAAGGTTAAATTGGCTCTGGTTTTATAAAGTTTCCATCTTTTTTTATTAATATATTTCACAGGGTAGCATTGTTATATTCTTTGTGGAACACATGACCTGTTAGTGTCAGTTGATTTGAGAAAAACACAGACTACCCTGTCAACCAAATTCATCACAAGGTTCTCCTGTCATATGATGGCAAAGCACTAAAATATCTGGAATGGTCTACATGAAACTGTAAATTTGATAAACATTTAAAAGGTATACATTTGGCAGAACCAAGACAAGTATCATCACATATCCATATGCAATCAAAGTAAACATGTCATGGAATTTAAGTGAAGCATTGGGCAATCATACAGATACTTATTGGAACTGTTTTACCTTCCACAGAATCTAGAAGGGTTTGTCGTTGACATCAGTGTGGCATGCTTCTAAGATCATTCAGAATTCGGTGCATTAGACCTGCAGTTGACCACCTTCTGACCTGCATTTTACCTGCTTCATGTGGGTTTTGCATTACCATAGGTTTGTATAGGAATGCAAAACCCCTGTGAAGCATACAAAAACCCAATGGCACAAGCCCTAACTCTATTTAACTAGTCTTGCAATTTACTGGCCTCTGCCAAACTGTACAGTCACAAAGGTGACACCCCTATTTTCTAGCTCTGCTTCCGCCTGTCACTTCCAGCCTGCACATTGGATAATCAATCAGCATGATCACACATCCAATTCATTGTCCAGTGGGCAAGCTATAGGCACAGGATGCCATAAAACCAACATGGGAATACTGGAGTGATGTTCCTGACAACATAACGTGACAGTGGTCTGTGAATCACAAGACTGGCTCTATAGAATAATAAATTAATATGCAATTCCATGCACTTATTTATCTGGATTTTGTATTAAAAAACCTTATATAAGTAGTTTCCTTAACTCTCTCCACTAAAAGCCCTTACTTTCTCTCTGATGTTGAAATCTTCACTCAAGTCTTATGAGTTCGGATCTTTGGCCATTTTAATACAGTAGACTGGTCCAGATTGTCATAACACTCCCACATGTACACTGGAGTTCGTTTATTCTGGGACCGAAGTGTGCCTAGTATACTAAGCCGTGCTTGCATAGCTCAGTTTACAGACTAAGGAAGCTTGTGAACAGACAGGTAAGTTTGTTTACTGCAAGAGACATAGCATGTCCCTTCTGCAATAAAAAGCTTCTTAAAGGAGAACAGCCAAAGCTCTTTTGGCTGTACTTGTCCTATGCATCACAGAAGTGAAGTTCGTTCTGCACTCCTGTGACCAGTTTTCAGCTGACAGCAGGCTGAAGCCCGCTGTCAGCTGACGTCACTCAGCCAGTCTAGGCTAGGGAAAGATCCCAGCTATAAAGTCAGGATCCACCCCAGAGTCTGGAGCAGCATCTGGCTCAACCTCTCAGCGATCCGCTGAGAGCCTAAGACAGCTGATCCCTTCCCCTCCACAGCCCAGTGCTCTAGTAAGCATGGTGGGGGGGCAGACAGTGGTCAGACTGACAGTCACCGCTCTCTGCTCAGAGCAGCTGTGAAAACTCAGCCGGCAGGGGACTGATGCTGCATCCACCTAGGCAAGCATGATTTTTGTAAAAAATGAATTCCCATACTTCTCTTTTTACTGATCTGCTCGTAGGCCTTCTTCCAGCAGGAAAATATTCACGCTTATAGCAGAGTTCATATGTTGTCATCTACCTGCTTTACATCACAGAGTCCATATTGTGAACACACAGGTTTATGTTAGCAGCCATCAATAAGTAAGGTCCTACAGTGTGGTGCCACTGTTAAAATGGAAAGAGTCTTTTCTTTAAGATATAAAGTACAGTTGCCAGAAACAAGGCAAGCGCCAGGAAAATTAGCAACTTGTCCGTCAGCTCACGGCGATTATATTTGGTAATAAGTTTACGGCCAAGCTGGATGGTTCCAGACATGGATTTGAATTCTTCATTGGCCTCCTGGACTGTCCTGGATGAGGTGGCTGAAAAGAAAAAAAAAAAAACAAAAACAGAACCGTATGAGAAAATCAAAATTATTTAAAAAAAACAGCCGTTTGCTGAACTACAAATTCTCTCCAAGAAAGATTACGGTTATTTCTAAAGTCTAAAAGCCCTGCAAATGCCTTAAGCATGATTTGCAAGGGTGTTATGCCATGCTGCGAATGCGATTGACAGTTGTGTGTGGATATCAGCTGTTGTCAAGACCATACACTAATTGTTTGATGTTGTAAACATTTTCTCGATTCGTGCATACAACTGTTAATCAATGTATTCTGACAGCTGTATGTCCTGTTGTCAAAATACAATGTCCAAGCGGGTAAGATTTCCCTATCCACCTTGTTTGTTTTAATTCAGCCCACTGGGTTGTCGTCCCTTCCTTTGAGTCATTTAGGTTTTAGTTTTAGCACAGAAGCCATAATCATTAACAGCCAGAAGCCAGTAACATTTCATGGTGTCTCAATGTATTGCAGAATGTTTAATCCCCATTGGTCCAATGGATTCCTAGTCCTTCCAGATACATTGCTTCTTGTGTGGAAGGAGCACCCTAAAATGGCTTCCCTTCAATTCCACCCATAGCTGTACTTTAGGTTATGTTGCCCCTCCCCCATATCTGTAACGGAAAGCCTCAATTACTCCCAATACTCCCCTGGCCTTCCAGTGAGAAGAAACATTTTCTCTGGAGGGGAGATGTTTTATGCAGTGAGCCCTTCATAGACGGGATGGGAAATCTAAGTAATCTAAGATAAGTAAGATGAACCGGTGTACTGGAGTCATGGATCAGATAACCAATGACACCACTGATTGTATAGCCAAGCTGACAGCAGAAGTGGCTCCAGCACCTAAGGTGGTGTCACAGAACTGCATGATGGCTATCTCTCGGAAGCTCAAGGTGGAGTCTACAAACTGGTGTCAGAGTGTCAGACTATCACCTACTCTACTTGCCTTTAGGCGATCACTGAAAACCTTTCCCTTCAGGGAAGCCTACCCCACCCTCAGCTAATTCTGGAATCCTCTACTCTTCCAACCACTCCATCCCCCACAGTTACTACCTACTGTACCATTCACCCCGCCCTCCTAGATTGTAAGCTCCAAGGAGCAGGGCCCTCAAATCCCTCTTGTATTGAGCTGTATTGTTACTGTATTGTCTCCCACTATAATGTAAAGCACTGAGCAAACCGTTGGCGCTATATAAATCCTGTATAATAATAATAATAAAAATAAAAAATAATTCGAAATTTAATAGAACAAAGAACCCACATAGAGTGCTGCATTTCAGCTGCAAGGGCTAAATTTGAAACATTCAGGGCCGCTTAACACCAGGATTGCACATGAACCAGTGCCGTGTTCTCGTGCAATTCCTGCATGTTCCCACGTGGTGAGATTCAACTGAGTGGGCTGCAAATTGCACCGGAATGTAGAAAAAGTAGTGCATGCACTACTTTAAAAAAATGTGCAGCATCAAATCACCTGGTACTGCAGTAAACCATATGATTTGGTGCCTGCAAACGCACTGCATTTTTGATCTGCCTTTGGGGTGCCATAAACATTACATTGCCACCCGCATGCAGATCACAAGGGAAGTGTGCGCAAACGCAATGCGAGAAATGTGAACGAAACACACCGTTCCCGCACTAAGCTCGTGTAAACCGTTCCTCACATTCAAAAAATAAAGTTTACTACATTAAAAGTAAAATATCAATAACTTTAGTACTAAATATAATATGAACACATGGTATTATTGAAGTTTCAAATTACTTTATTTTTTCATGTAGATTTTTGCAAGTTATGGGTTTCAGTGAACATGAGTTTTCGAATAGGAATATTGTAAAGTGGTACTCCAAGTCAATGCCTAAATAAATAGCTAAAATACTTATATTGTTTCTTTTTTTTTACCTACCAAAAGATTTGCAATTCTGCGCAGTACTGTGAAACACATCCCCGGCCCCACTGCACAGCCAGGTAGGTTACTCTATTATTTTCTAGTTCGCCATTACTCCTTCCTTGATCACATCCCTTCTAAGGGTCCAGTCACACTGCCCTACAGCCAAAACGCTGGAGCCCGCACAGCGTTCTTGGCTGCAGAGCTGTGCATCAGGGGGTGGTGTGATGTGCATTTTATTGCATTACACAGTCCCCTCTCCCCATTTTTGACAAAATGTATATGTTGTGTACAAGCAGGCACTTTCATTCATGTCACTGCACCATGCATAGTGATGTAATATTATGCATATATGCTGTATAATATCACACAGCTCTGGAATGCAGCAAAACACAGTGTTCTGGTCTGAACATGACATACATAAAACGATTGTTTTCTGGGTGTCATTGTAGTTACCTGCGTTTTTCCATGCCATGAGGAAAAAGTTGGATTTTTTTTTCTACATACTTACCTGTAAAATCTATTTGCTGGAGTTCATCACGGGACACACAGCAGGCTATAATCATGACTATGTGGGTTATATGCCACCTATTGGTGAAAGGACACTGGCAGATCAATCAAAGTCCACCCCAGATAACCCCTCCTACACAGGAAGTACTTCACTTTTGTAACAAGCACGATGAAATTCTAGAAAGAGTGGAGGGAGCTCTGTGTATGGTGATGTACTACGAGAAATGGATTTTAAAGAAAAGTATGTAGAAAAAAATCCAACTTTCTTTATTGTACAGCACGGGACACAGAGCAGGCTATAATCATGACTGTGGGATGTCCCAAAGCAGTAAAACCTGAGGGGTGGAAGACACCACAATAATCAAGGCCATCAACCTACCCAGGACCTACTCCACCATCAGTAAGATGCTGCAGCCAGGGGCAGTATCCTCTGTAGTTCTAACATCCACCTGGTAAAACCTTATATGTACTGAAGACCATGTAGCGACCTTGCAAACCTGAGCCACTGACACCAGATAGCCCAAGATGCCCCCACAATCCTGATAGCGTGCACTCTCACCCGAAAGAGTGGAACCTTGCCTTTTCAACCCATACGCTTGAATAATTAACTGGAGGATCCAATGAAAAATAGTTGACCTGGATGGTGCCTGCCCTTCCTGGGCCTTTCTGGCAGAACAAACCAAGATTTCTGACCTGCGCTGACAAATGCAAGCAAATCCTGACTGCCCAAAATACATTCAGAATATGCAGCAATCTTTCCCCTGCCGACTGTGGACTAGGAAAACAGAATGGCAAGACACTGTCCTGATTCAAGTGAAAAACTAGAAACCACTCTAGGCAAGAAAGATGGATGAGGACGCAACATCACCTTATTATGATACAAGACCAGGAACAGCACCTTACATGAAAGAGCCACCAGCTCTGACACTCTTCTTGCTGAAGTCATAGTAACCAAAGAAGCCACCTTCCGAGTCAAAGGACTAACAGAGTTTCTCAAACTGGTTCAAAAGGTGGCTTCTACAAGGGCAGCCAGGACCAAGATCAAGTCCCAGGGACGCAAGGGTGGCTTGATACGCGGGACTGTCCAGATTAAACCCTGCACAAAGTGCGAAACAAGGAGTGAGGAGTCTTTGGAAAAAAAAAAAAAGATAGATCCGAAATCTGACCCTTAATGGTACTTAAGGACAATTTAATTTCCCCCGATTGGAGAAAGGACAAAAATCTCCCAGTTATTATATTATTATTATACAGAATTTATATAGCGCCAACAGTTTGCTCAATGCTTTATAATATAACAGGAAACAATACAGCCACAATACAGTTCAATAGAAGAGGGTTAGGAGGGCCCTGCTCCTTGGAGCCCAATCACATATTTCCACTTTGCCACTTCCTAGCTTCACACCAGGCAAAACAAGATTTCCAGATCCTGTAGTGTAAGATCCCTGAAGCCGGCTTCTGGCAACAGTGTGGAGATAACAGCACCCAAGACCCTCCAATCCTTCCAGACCTGGGCTTCAATAGCCAAGCCTTCAATCCTAGCGATCATAAAGCAGGATACACTATTGGATCTAAGACAATAGGTCTGACTGGAAGCGACCAAGGAGCATCCGCTGCCAGATGTCAGTGTACCAAGCCCTCCCAGGCTAGGCTGGGCTACCAATATTATCACTGTTACCACCGCCTAAATCCTGCGCAAAAGATGTGATAATAGCTGAATCGGGGGGGAAGGCATAGACATAGGGAACTGGTCCCTAAAGTGTTACCAGTGCACCTACCCCTTTTGCCAGTGGGACTCTCGTCCTCGAAACCACCTGTCCAACTTGTTATAGACCCTGGAAGCCAGTTTATCCACATCCAGAGTTCCCCAACGCTGGCAGATTGCAGAGAATGTCTTGGGATGCAGGGACCAGTGTGTCAATTTTAGCAAATAGCTATAGATTAGTAATAGAAAAGAAAAATCCTTGGCAGTTTTCTATACGTGGAATATGTACTGCTGAGGGAGACGGCATGTGCTGTTCTGCCCCAAATAGAATGTGGTTCACCTTCCTAAGCTGCACAAATCCTGGTGTCACCCTGGTGGTTGATATATGCCACTGAACTGAACCCTGACCACAACCTGTGCCACATTATCCAATAATCTAGAGCAAGGCGTACTGCCTGAAATTCCAAGGTATTGATGGGCAGTACTCTCCTCTGTGGAGATCAAGTGCCCTGAACTGTAGCCGCCTCCCAAAGCAGCCCCCCAACCGGACAGACTGGCATTGGTAGTTACTATCTTCCATATCACTGGAAGAAAAATGTCCCATTCTCCAGATTCCGATCATCCACCGATTCGAACTCTAAAATACCCAGGAGACAGAGCCATCCAGCAATCCAATGCTTGGACTTGGTCTGTTATAGACAGTCAAAATGTTCCTCTACAAAAGATCTGGAGTGGAACTGCACGTAGGGAACTGCTTCAATGTAGATACCATTTCCTCATGCAGAGACATAACAAAGGATTGCTTTTGCTTCTTGTATTCCACTTTAAACTTGGAACCGACTACTCCCTGAGCAAAAGATCAGGTATCCTCAGCAAGCCCAGTACCGGGG